ATAGTTCACTTTAGTCTAAGTTATCTCAGTGGGTCTCAAACGGTTTGGTCACCATTAATGTAAACAATTATTTCCGAGGCACTCCTTCATATGATCATTATAGTTAGGCTATAAAACAAATAAGAGAATAAATGAAAAACAGTTATGAAATACTATATGGCAGTATAACAAGAATACAGTTTAAAAGGGGAGTGATTTGTAAAATATCCATAAAGAAAAAGTAAATTTGTTTACAGTTCTGTTACAAATGGGTGTTGAGATGTATCCATAGATCTCTTCATGTTGCTCTCAAAGTGCACAAGATTGACTCTTTTAACTTCAATATAAAACAAATAATCTTCCCGGGGGAGCATGCCCCCGGACTCCCCTAGAGGAGGTTAGGTCCACCCCCACTTAAAAATAAATAGCACTTTACCCCTGCTTACACCTATATGCCGTGAGCTGATTATCGAGCCTTCATGGTAACAGTTGTGGGTACATTGTGTGTATGCGTGGGGAGTGTTGCAGTAGAACATTCCACTGTAGCGCCCGGTACATTAATGGGAAACCCTAAATGTTTGAGCACCCTCTATGAAACGTCAAGCTACCCCACAGTACCCCCAAAATAAATCTCTGGCGCCGCCACTGACTTTTTTTTTTCTCCAAAGGGGGGGCCTGACAGAAAAAGTTTGAGAACCACTGACTTAGACAGTGAGAGGGAGGGGCAGGATCGGGTTTTGTCCCACATGGCTCTAAACAGCTCAATAGGCACACACTGTAGACACTAATTAGAAGAACACATACTAAAACAGCAATGTACAGACGAATCAGATGATTAAACATGATCTTAAAATATATTTTAAATTTTTTTTTTTGCATTTTGTTGTAATCATTATTTTAATACTTTCTGTTGACACTAGGTGGGGCTGTGACTGACAGTTTGAGAACAATTATGTGTTTTTGAACATCAAAGCATGTAAACATGTTTTAGAAACCTAAAATACAAGTATAACCCAAAAATGAACTTAATATCATCTTTAGCTTGATGTCACCTCTCGCAATTCACTGATAAATATCCTGGAAAACCTGATTTTAGTTCCGTCTCTTTGCATATTTTGTGGAGTTCATTTATCTGTTTAATTCACATTTTTCAACTAACATTTTTTTTCAATGTTTCAGTCCATTAATAATAATAACGCATTTTATTTAGAGGTGTCTTTTACACCTTATAATTCAGAAAATATCATTTAAAAAAACTGGGTGGAATAGGAAACAGGGGATCCATCAATGATTAGGGATAGTCTGGGGCAGTGGGGGTAGGAGGGGGATTTGGAGCCAACCAGCAGGGCCTCCATTTTGCCTCCATTGAGGTTGAGGAAGTTACGGCTCATCCAACTCTTGATGTCATGGAGGCATGTGGTGAGAGAGGGCAGTGTTGGGTTGGGTGGATATGAAGACCTGTGTGTCGTCAGCATAACTGTTACGTGCCGTAGTGTTTGTGTGGTCGTGTGTGTGTTTTTCTCTCTCTCCCTCTGACTCCCCAGGTGCAGCCTGATTGTCCTCAGGTGCAGCCTCTCCCCAGGTGCTCCCAATCCCCAATCAGGGCCTCCATATAGAACAGGAGGAAGGTTGCTGTCTCTCTCTCTCTCCCCTTCTCCCCGGGCTGGATGTGTGCAGCGTGGTGTCCATGTCTCCAGCATATAGTTTTGTAGCTAGAGTTGTTTTGCAAGTTGGCTGGTGAGCCGTGTTCATGTTTGTTCATTAAACGACTGGATCGTTACTCAGAGATCGGTTTTCTCTCCTTTTTGTCGTGCTTGGTCATCCTGGTGTGTTGTTACTTCCCTTTGTACCCCCTAGATTTAGAAGGGAACGTAACAATAACAGTAAAATGTGACATCATGGTGTCGGAGGATAGTACCAAGGGGAAGGAGGTAAATTATAATGAAGAGTGGACCCAATACTGACCTCTGAGGGTCGGAGGGTCATTAAAGAGCAACAGTTAAGGGTCCTTATACAACGAATAAGAAAGAATATTAATCAATCAATAGGATCGATAAAGGTATTCTGATAATCAATATGAGTTTGAAAGAAAATAACATTATGTCTGGCCGTCGATGAGCGTCCTGTCGCCCTACTCAGATTGGTGTGTCCCGCACCGTCGTGTCTTTTCGGCCGTGCCGACACCTTCCGCCTCCCAATTCAACACTGTCACTTCCCGATCTGCAGCTCTGCCCGATCTGCAGTGCGCATGTGCGAGATGGTCCGCCATATTGGACAACTCCGGACGGCAACCCAAGTAGGACACGTGACTTGACACAGTGGCTTTTGGCAAAGCTCAAAAAGAAAACGCGAGAGAGATGAGTTGTTGTTGTTATAACAACGTGGCTTCACTATTATTTAACAACTCTTTTTATTGAGTTATTTTATTTGGGGTTAAGTACATTGTCAGAATAAGTGAGACACGGATTTAACTTCTGTTAGACAGCCATATGCCATACATTTTTGCATACATTCACAGTAAATATGTATTCAGTATGATAGCTGACCATCTCGCACATGCGCAGTACAGATCGGGCAGGGGTACGGATCGGGTAGTGACAAACATGTTGAATCAGGAGGCAAAAGGCTGTCAGCAAAAGAAATCACTCTGATTGGCTGTTCAGCTTAGTGAATCAGTGCATGAGAAGCGAGGTATGCAAACAAACAATTAAGAAGGCACACACAGACGGCTATTATTTTTCATTTTCATCTGTCTGCTTCCACAAGCAACAGGCGGTATCAGCCATCATCTGTGGCTGATACCGCCAGTACCGCACTAAACATAGTTTTGATGGACGAGAGTGAAAATGGAACGCACACGCTATTTGTTGTTTGTATATATCACGCAGTCTGTCTTCCGGTTGTTGCCACTTTTAAATGACGAATACACACTACCGCCGCCTGCTGGTAAGGAGAGTTATTGCCACTCACGCATGCGCAGTGCGTACGTGCTACTTGGCCGTCGGCTGAAGTCTTTGCGGTGTGTTCCAGTGCGACTGTTGGCCGAGACGCAGGAGACGTGAGGCGACACAACAGTCGGGTCTGTCGGGACGTGTTCTTTGGTGTCAGCTTGGTGCGTCAGGGCCTTTACAGTTTGCATGAAAAACAGATTTTTAGACATGGTTCACTCTGCCTGACTAAAGCAATGATTTACATTGGAGTAACCTATGGATTAACCTTCAGCAGCGTTTTAATGCCATTGAACACAACTTTTGATCAGAAACAACAAAAGGTAAGACATTTCTCCCGTGTTTGCTCCGTAAAGCTACGTGGTGTGATGTCTGGGTTTGCTTCCCATGCCGCGAGTGTTGATCACTCAGTGAAGATACTTATATTTCTAGAATCTGTGGAATCTCAGCTTGCTAGCTGATATCTGGTTCATGCAGATCCGATAAGTAATACGGATATTTTACCGTGAGTTCTGTGCTAAGTGTGTTAGCATTTTTTCGCTCAGGGCTAATTCAGAAGCTGGACCTGGCTCCAGAACGGGACCCCAGGCTTCCTCCGGGCCGGGTATCCTCACTTCTTAGTTTGTCTTACATGAGGTCTTTGAACGTCTATGAAGCTCTTCAAGCAGGAATACCTCAGAAATGTCCCATTAGCTTTTCTCTATTTTGAGCAACAGTTTGAATTTTGCATACATAGTGAAATAAGACCTTTGAAATAAGATTTTGTTCAGCTCATGATCTGGCGCTGCCCTCACATTGGGATGACATGAAAGGTGATCTCATCAAACTGTTTCCTGTCGCTGCGGGATCCCAGAAATACACCGACGTTGAGACAGAGCTAAGAACCAGCTTCACGCCCAACATCATCAGCGTATGTTCAATATCTGATCTTCATGCAGCGATACCTTGAGACTGCATCTTTACTCACTGCAGATGTGTTCGTTGTTTAACCCTAAATGTAATTGTTAGATAATCCCATCATTAAATGTTCTGGACAAATCAAATCAATCACTACTTTGAGTGGCCTTTGAATTTTGGACAATAACACGCTGAATATTAAGACAAGATCTGGACAATATATAGATTTGAATTTTAACATATAATAATAATAATAATAATAATAATAATAATTTATAATCATTACATAATGTCTTCAAAATAATAATTAATGTAATAATTACATTAATTATTATTTTGAAGACATTATGTAATGATTATAAATTATTATTATTATTATTATTATTAATCACAGTCTTATTTCATTATAATAATAATAATAATAATAATAATGATAATAATAATAATAATATATATATGAGATAATACTGTTCTAATTATTGCCCTATAAATATGTCACAATATTCACTAAATTAGACTAAATCCAATTAGGATATTTTCATTGACTAAAATGGTTTAAATGTTTTAATAGAAATATTTTAAATGCTAAATCCCTGCTAAATGTACTGATACAAAACATTCTTTAATATGTTAAAGTTGTAACTCAGCGCTCTCTGTCTCTTACGTGTTGTATTCTTACTGGCTTTGTCAGATTGTTCAGAACATGACCCTGTGGAAGAACTACCAGCTGTTAAAGAAACAGCTGGATGTGAACAACAAACACAACAACGAAAGGAAGCTCTTCCACAAACGAGGCTTCAACCGCAGCTACACCGGAACACATGGTAACCAAAGGGTCATTAGAACACTTTCTGCACATTCACAAGGCAAAATAAAATACTGCATGGGAGGGAAGATCTAAATATTCAGTTCGACCTTTGGCTGAAAGTCAACACTTCTTTAAATACTGTAGTATTACTATGTCCTCTGTTTTTATTCGTCAGCTGTATTTGTGAGTCATTTTTAAAATTAAGATTTCATATAAAACATTTGTTACAGCTCCAAATAACAGTATATTATTAAAGATTAAACCACGGATTGCCCACTTTTTGGCTAGTCCCAGTAGGGCTGCACTCGACTAAAGATTTTTTCTAGTTGACCAATATTCGTCAATTTAGGCGATAAGTCGACTAATCGTCGCACGTTTATGATACGTTATGATTTTAGCTAAATATACTATAACATTTCAAGATAAAATTACATTTTGTGCATTTGCTTATCTAATATTTATAAGTTTAGCCTTTGGCCCTCAACTTCAACCTCAAGTTATTTTAATAATAATAACTAGAAAATTCAGAGAAATGTTGCCTGTGTGACTGAAACTTGGGTGTGTCCCGATGCTAACATTACCCCCGCTGAGTAAGTATTAATAGCATTAGTTGTATTGTTAAGGTACAATAATGAATATCCATTAATTTTAGCTCACTTTTAACTGTTAATATTACATTTTTGGATTCTTGCACCACATTCCTGCATCGTTTCTGAACATCTTTAGATTACCACTGGATTTAGTTAACGGCCGACAGGTGTGTTCAAAGATCAAAGCGGTTTTTTTACAGCTCCTTTCCCCTCTAGCCGTGATGTCACCCACTCTAAGTCTTAACGAGCTCTCCCATTCATTCCTATGGGCCAAATGATCGCAGTTTTCTGCGATTTGTGTGAAAACGGCTAGGCGAATCAATTATAAAAGACATAGCAACCTGATCCCGGTCATTCCGCACGTTTTGATGTGTGTTTCGTGTCAACGCAGCCGGACGAGTAGCATGAACACATTTGTGGCGGAAGAAGGAGAATAAGATGAGATAAGTATGTCGATTACTATTCTGTGTGTGGCTTCGCCAGTCACACAGAATAATAAACTTTATTTATATAGCACCTTTCATGCTCTGAGGCTGGCCTTTTATATGTCCACGTTACCATGACAGCTACTCAAATTCGGCTGTCTTTGCCGACACCGTGGTCCCATCTCGATGTCATCGTAATATAATACGATGGCTACACGACGGCATTGCGAGGGCTTCACGTAGTCGTGTTGCCTTCCTAAGACAATCGGGCAGCTTCTTGTTTCCTTCATATTGTCTTCGTGAGGCGGAAAATGCCCGATGGCACCGATGATCTCACGAAGTAAAGATGACACGATTTGACAAGATGCCCTCACGAGTGCCTTACGAAGGGCAAAATCACACACAAATTCAACACGAAAATGAACCTTCGCAAGGTCCTTCGAATTTTTTTTGCCATGCCAAAGATTTTGCCACCGCTCACGAAGTTGCTGCCGGAGTCTGGGAAACTCCACCGGCGGTCATACGATGGCTTGAGATGCCCTCACGAATGGCCCGATGTTGCTACGATCACAGCCGAATTTGAAAATGTCCTTTATCGTGTGTCCATCTGGTGTCAATTTCAGGACAGTGTGACGCGGGCTTTACAGAGTATGACAGAAAATGACAGCAACAAATGAGGAACATAATTAATAACAAGGTATAAACAAACAGAAAGAGTTATAGCTACATTGTTTGAATCGGTTATCACTCATTGGTCATTCACTACCTGTATTAAAGCTGTTTCAGTGCTCTGTGTTCGATAGCCAGACTGGAATTTATCAAAAATGTTATTGTTGTTAAGATGATGGAGTCATTGGTTGAAAACAATCTTCTCAAGGAGTTTGCTTAAAAAGGAAGATTAGAAATAAGCCTGTAATTAGTTAAATCACCTATGTCCAAGGTTTTTACCAAAGCAGAAGGGAAAATACCAGATTGCAGAGACATGTTAATTATTCTTGTTGTTTCTTGAGACAGGTACTGAAAGCAGGATTTAAACAATTTGGTAGGGACGGGGTCAACAGAGCATGTTGATGAATTCATTTTGTTGATTGTAGCAGCAATTTCATCATGAATCGTCCGGGTTAAAATCTGCCAGGGTAGGTGGAGGCTCTGCTTGGTAGATCCCAAAGAGGCCGTCTGAAGAGAAATCAAACTTGGGTGGAACTGTTAAAAGCTTCTAACGTGGCCTCAACTAGACACGCTTTGATTAACGGTTTTATTTGATGGAAGTCATCATGTGTTTTTTCTGTAAAATCTTATGTTAAGTAACTATAGCTGAAGTTGATATCGAGTAAAGGACTCTAAAAGGGAAAAAGTAAAGTATCTCAAATGTTCCGTTTTAAAAGTCTTATTCAGCGAAGAGTTTAAAATATCCAATATTGGATCCTTCACTGGCTCCCGGTCAAGTCACGCATCCAGTACAAACTCCTCCTGCTAACTTACAAATCTCTCCACTCCCTAGCCCCTGCTTACATCTCTGACCTCCTTCAGCCCTACGCCCCCTCTCGTCAACTGCGGTCCTCCGACAACGGGCTGCTCTCCATCCAGCGCTCCAAGCTAAAAACCTTTGGCAACAGGGCTTTCAGTGTCGCAGCTCCCACCCTCTGGAATGCTCTCCCCTCTGCTATCAGGAATGCCGACTCTCTGGACACTTTCAAAAAACAACTCAAACACCATCTGTTCACCCGGGCCTTTGGCCTCAGCTAAAATGCAGTACCCAGCAACCGGTTATTTTTTTTTCTAACCTGTGTATCCTTGTGACTATTATTATTTTGTTGTTTTGTTTCCCATTGTAAAGCGTCCTTGGGTCTCTTGAAAGGCGCTATAAAAATTTAAATAATTATTATTAATATGAGCGATGAACCGCTCCAGATTTGACTAGCGAGCGGCCCGAGACCACCTCTTTACGGCGGACCAGAGTCCGGCTGTTTATTTCATATCAGAGGTCTCGGACTGTGTTCACACCAACCCAAACGAACCGCACCAAGTGGTGAAACGCACCAGGGTTCGATTCAACCGGACTAAACAAGGCTGGTGTGAATGCGACCTGAGTCAACTTCCCAGTGTTTTCAAGTGTCATAGAAGACAGGAGGTGGAAATGGACTACATTTACATAGAGCTTTTCCAACATTTACACACTGTTGACCGTGGCATAGTGGAGTGCCCAATGACAAGTCTTTATTATTACAACACCATTAGAAATAAATCAAGTTTCTTCTCTGTTTTGTTCTGTAGGTGCGATGTACGGCAATGGTTCCTACTTTGCTGTGAGTGCGACATTCTCACAGGGCTACGCTAAACCCTGACATCAGGAACCACATGCGCATGTACCTGGCCAAGGTCCTGGTGGGAGACTTCACCACGGGAAGAGCCGGCATGATCACCCCCCCCCACCAAGAGCTCCAGCAATACTACAGACCTGTACGACAGTGTGGCAGATAACAGCGCCAATCCAACCATCTTTGTAGTCTTCGATGACATCCAGGCGTACCCAGAATACCTCACATTCACCTGATCGATGCTATGATCACATTGTGCCACAGTTCTGATCAAAACATACCTCTGTTTTTAGTTTTCTTGTCTGCAACAACTGTTTAATACTTATATAATACATTGCATGTTACCTGAAGGGCTCGTTTCCATTTGCTTTATTGAGATTAAAGTTAACTGTGATTTCCTTAATCTAGCATTTGTCACATTGAGTTTGTTGCTCAGTAATGTAGTTTTGAATTAGTAACCTGTCATCTTTTTTTGTTTAACAGTTTTGATTGAGATTTCAAAATCAGAGAAAATATACATTCACTAGCATTCCTCCATCCCACCCAGTAAATAATTGTATTACCAACATTTTTCAGAATATTTCTATCCTTTTTCATTCCTTGGAGAGAAGCATTTCATCATTCGTTTGGAATGGCAAGCCCCCGAGAATAAGGAGAAGTGCCCTTCAGAGACCTAACAAACTTGAGCTTTTCCAACATTAACATATATAAATAAATAAGAAGGAGAAGAAGAAAGGGGGGGGGGGGGGGTCGGTTCTGCTGCCACAAACTATTGCTCTATCATCCTGGTTTAGGGGGACCTGTAAGCTATCGTAATAATTTAAGAAGGGGGTCCAAACTTCTGCACAGAGCCTATTAGAGTGTACTGGATTTTCTCAAGTTTAAGGAAGTGCATAGTGTCTCTTATCCATCTAGTAACATTGGGAGGTGCTTGCTCTTTCCAGGACAGCAGAATTAGGCGTCTGGCAACCAAGGAGGTAAATGCTATATCATGACTGCCCGAGTTTTACCTTTAAGGTAGCCGGTTTCAAGGGTGAGGCCAAATAAAGCACATACAGCATTGGGTGTGATGTCTTTTTGAAAGATCTTGGAGTATGCAATGAATATGTTGCCCCAAAATGAGCTGAGGTTGGGACAGGACCCGAAAATGTGAATATGATCTGCTGGTTGACTGTTACAGCGAGGGCATGAAGGTCTAGGTCAAGGAACAGCTTCGCCAGCCTTGCTTTGGTAAAGTACACTCTCAGAACAATTTTGAGTTGTATAAATCTATGCCTAGCACATGGGGAAGAGGTATGTATTAAGTCAAGCACTTTCTGCCATTGATCGTCTGCCATTTCCTCACCAACGTCATTCTCCCAACGACTCCTGACATAAACCCGATATTGTTTATACTATTATAGAGAAGAGAGACTAGCACTTTGCTACCTGGCGATAGTGAGAGAATATGATCAATTGCGTTGTTCATTGGGATGTCAGGGAAAATGTCTAATCTGGAGATATCTGAAGAAGTGAGACTGTGGTAAATTAAATCATTGGGAGAATTGTGTAAACGATTCAAATTTCCCAACTACATACAGAGTACAAATGGATGTAATGCCATTCGTGTCCCATATCCCAAAAGTAGAGACAGAGAGGGAGGGAGGGAAGTTGTAATTATTCTTGAGTGGAGAGTGTACCGACGTTGTCTGCAAGTTGAAATGCCTTCTAAATTGAGACCAAACTCTGATGGAGTGATACACCACTGGATTAGAGCTGAATTGAGGTAAAGAAGGAGGTGACTGAGCGCATATGGAACGTAGATTGTAAAGGACACGGGGTCTCCAGGAAATTGGAGATGGCACGGTGTTGATGGGTGTGTCCCAGTAAAAGAACACAGAGAACAGACTTTCCCAGTTTAGATCTTTAATTATACTTGTTCTTGCTGTTAGCCATGTGTGTGGTCTGTAACAATAGTACAAACAAGGAATGGCATTAATAATAATCACAATTATCTATAATAAACAATTATAGAATCAATATAATTGAATTAGACAAGCGAGTGCAATACACAAATACAAAGAAGTTAGCAACTAAGCTACTGTGAGAGAATATTTTAATCCGATCTGTGTATTTAGAGGTTCTCAGTCTTTCTGGAAAACTTAATCACAAAGTAATGCTTTTCGTTAAACCGCATATACTCCTGCCTGTAATGTGATCCTGCGTGTAACCTACAGGAGGACAGGTCAAGAGGTCATCTGACTTCCTGTGGGGTGAGGGGTTTGGGCACATGAGAAGTTGCAACACAAAGGTGCCTTTGTTCCGATGTCTGGTACTGATTAGGGAAAAGGCGGGAATATAGATCCCTCCTCTTTTAATGTATAGATCTGTGCTGTGGTCCTTTGTCTCCAGAGTTTGCTTGGTGTCTCATAAAGAAGTTGTGAATATACCTTGTGAATTCTCCGCCGTATTATACTCTTAATAAATATCAGCATTTGACTAAGGCAGCTCCAGCTTCCATCCTTTCTGCACAGAAGTTTTCCTCACAGCTACCACTAGCATCCAGCACCGCTAACAAACTAGAGACATTACTGCCTACTAAGATATATACTAATATTACTATTTACTACAAATAAACACTGACAAGTTTACATTGCGACGCCCGCGACACAGAGGGCCTCATCATATAACTTTGCGTGGGGCCACACATTGGCCTGGGATTATCCCCCTCTAAATGAGTAGATTTAGGGAACGTTAACAGATTAGGCTAGGATACCGGATAAAGTTAGACTGGATCCTGAACTTCCTGCCGGGCAGACCCCAGGCAGTGCGGGTGTGAAATCCTCCACCCTGATCCTCAACACCGGAGACCCTCAAGGCCAGGCCTGTTAAGTGGCCTGCTTTTAGAAAACTGTCATGGTTTTGAGTGCTGTAAAATGACGCTCATGGTCCCGGTCATCTTCCTGAAGCTGAGCGTGTTTCAGATGTAAAGAGAAATCAATGCAACAGACAGGGGATAATAAAACAATTGAAGAAAACAAACACATCCATAAACAAAAAGTCCAAAGTCCAACACAGAAACACACAAGATGTTTTAATGATCTGTTTTTATTGGGTTTATTATATATATTTCCATCACAAAGGATACATTACAATATCAATGCCGACACTATGAATATTAACCATAGCACACACACACACACACACACACACACACACACACACACACACACACAC